AATTCAGTATTTCATTAGCGAGTTCCTTCATCATATTAGTAATTACTGACAGAAATGGATCAAATTATGAATTGATCTGTGAAGTACATCTTTTTTTGAGGCGACTGAGGTCCTTCAACATCTGCCAGAAAATGCTCAGGATTTTCTACGAGTCGGTTGTGGCCAGTGCGATCCTCTATGCTGTTGCATGCTGGGGGAGCAGGCTGAGGGTCGCAGATGCCAACAGACTCGATAAACTGATCCGTAAGGCCAGTAATGTTGTGGGGACGGAGCTGGACTCCCTCAAGGTGGTGTCTGAGAGGCGGATGTTGTCCAAGATAATGTTGGATAACACCTCCCACCCACTCCATGACATGCTGGTCAGTCAGAGGAGCTCGTTCAGTGAGAGACTGAGAAAAGCACCACTGAACGACACAGGAAATCATTCCTGCCTGTGGCTCCCTGTACTGCTACAGCTACACATGTTTCTTTTTCAGCTATTTATTAATAAGTGACTTTTATATGTATATAGATATCTAGATAGTGCTATTCTTAGTTAGTGTATTGTCTGTCTTGTTAATGTTTGTTTATAATGGAGCACTGTAACAAAAATAATTTCTCGTAGGGATCAATAAAGTATTCTGATTCTGATTGTGAAACCTGTAATTATCCAGAGCAGCAAATAAAATGTTTTGAATTTCAGGTTGTGTGTGAATTCTAATCCTGTACTTTTGATGTTGCTTCTAATGCAAATCAAACCTGTGTCCTTGCTTCCTCACAGGATGCTTTGAGGAACGGGCTGGTGGCCACCGAGGTGCTGATGTGGTTCTACATTGGAGAGTGCATCGGCAAAGGAGGCCTCGTGGGCTACAATGTCTAAATTTTGGACTTTAAAGCATTTTTTTCTTTTGAGCATTGTATGCTCAACCTACTCTATGAAATATGGGAACCAGTAAAGCTGTTGTGTTAAAAAATCAGTTTTTGACTCATTAATTGAACCTTAATATTGAATGAATCTGCAGGTTTACTACAAAATGTTTTCCTCTGCTCAAAGCTGAGTTGAACATGTGTGATCATCGTTACTGTTGCTGTCAGTAGGATTGTGCAAAAACTACCAACATGAAATCATGTGTTGTACTATAACTATGCTGCTGTAGTTAAGTGCTGCAAAAAAGTACT